GAATGACACGTGGTCTGAATCTTGGGCGTAATGTTTTTCCATTACAGACCACATGCCATTCTCTTGAGAATAAGATTCTTTGTTTGAGTTGTATCCATATTCATGTGTCCTCTCATTGCGCAACCGTTAAACAAAGAAATGATACTCTAGGGAATGACACGTGGTCTGAAAAAGGTCCATACTTGTAATGCATGCGTAGAACTAAATCAATATTGTAATGTGGCTTTTTTCCCCCGACAGTTCTCAAGCTCCTAAAAACTGCAGAAGGGATTCGTAAGTTATTGGACACGGTACTTCAAGCTCTGCCACAAGTGAGTATTAGATTCCAACCTACAAGATGAAACCAATTCATGACCACATGGCCAATCTCTTGTGTATATACTCCAGTTTCGAGTTCTCTGTTGCTCAGGGTTAGCCTTGATTTCGTGTACAATATTCATCTATTCCAGTGAAGGTCCGTGGAATTTCAAAGTGTTTGTATTGTTGAAGTTGTGTATTCTTTACTTTCCCGTTGGTATTTGTGAATATTTTGACACTGATACGAGGCTAACCCTGGGTAAATGAGTCTGTAATCAAGGAACACAGCGGTAATTTTGAACTCGAAAAGGGTCTATTATGCCAAAAAATAGTCCTTTCCACACCCGGTACTTGCACAACGAGGACAAACTTGGCTCTGGATACGCTCCCAGATCACCTAAATGGATCTCAACTTTGGAAGGGTATTTGACTTTAAACTTTCTTCTTTTTTCTAATTGTCAGGTTGCCAATCTTGGACTACTTTTCCTTCTACTTTTTTTCATCTTTGCTGCTTTAGGAATCGAGCTCTTTGGCAGAATTGGTGAGTGTAAACAAATATTTATTCAAAACCGTTAAAAGAACGTAATTGAACCCTGAAACAACCTATGGGCTGATCTAAGGGCATAGCTAACTCACAGATTTAACCCTGAAGCAACCTCTGCGCTGATCAGTCAGGGCACGACTAACTCACAGATAGAACCCTGAAACAACCTCTGGGCTGATCTAAGTCAGGGCACGACTAACTCACAGATAGAACCCTGAAANACCCTGAAACAACCTCTGGGCTGATCTAAGTCAGGGCACGACTAACTCACAGATAGAACCCTGAAACAACCTCTGGGCTGATCTAAGTCAGGGCATGGCTAACTCACAGATTGAACCCTGAAACAACCTCTGGGTTGACGTGAGTCAGGGCACGGCTGAATAACAAATCAAATTGGAATTTAGCTCGTTGGCTTTGATGAGGGGGGAAACCCGGAGAAAAGGAAGAAAACCTAACAAACTCTACTCGCATGTGATTGTAGAGTGCAGAAATGGAACCTTAGATTCTTAGAGGAAAGGTAGTGCCGCGAAAGTACTTATTTTCTTATATTCCTTTGCTTCCAGACTGCAAGAAGTTTAATTGTGAAGGGATGGATGAGCATGCACACTTCCAAGATTTCGGCGTAGCAATGTTGACACTATTTAGGATTTCTACGGGGGACAATTGGAACGGGATTCTAAAGGTATGTATTTTATATCTAGACCAGATTGTAAATGAGTCTGTTATCAAGGAACAAAGCGGTACTGTACATATTTGTGCCACTTAATCGTCTTACTAAAATATCTAGTTTTAAAAAGGAGCTTACACAGCCATCTTGCTTGTATTTTTAGGATACTATAAACGAGAAAATCTGTGAAGTCAGTCCTGATGTGGACTGTAAAGTCCTAGAGCACGTTGCTCCGATATACTTCGCGGTATTTGTGCTTGCTACTCAGTTCGTCTTGCTTAATGTTGTTGTTGCTGTGTTAATGAAACACTTAGAAGAAGCCAAGGAAGAGGACAATTCTTCTACTTCTGGGTCACGCAACTCCATTACTTCGTCACGCAAGGATTCTAAAGAACAAGAAGAACCTGTGGTCACGCTAAAGGTCCCTCCTTCGGAAAAGTTTCGGAAAGTTTCGTTTGATGACGATTCTGGCAAAAAAGAGAATCAAGCGACTGTAGACATAACTGTTCCAACAAATCGAGGCCAAGGAGTACTTCCTTTGGTAGCAGTGAATGGTGAAGATGTGAATCATTCGGATTCTGAATACAGCACGACATCTCCTATCCCTCAAACCAAAGTAATGGAACATCAGAAACCTGTCTTGAGCCAATCAACACCAACTCTTCGCCCTGTGCTACGAACAAGAAACAGATCGTCGTCGGCAGCACCTAGGATCGTCAAAGAGATTAGTAGTAGCTCATCTTTAGCAAAACTTAGCCCTATTTTAGGGAGACTGGCAAAATCACGGCGTTTTGATGACTCTGATGAGCTTGTCAGCCGTGCGCATGCGCATACTCTTCCTCCGTTGGAATTTTCCGGCATGACCAACCACGCTTCCGAGAACGACTTAAGCCCTGAAGGTGGGATTCCTTTGTCCCCGAGGGCTCCAATCTATAAAATGAGTGAAGATAGTGATTTGTATGATAGTAACTTAGAAGGCGATTACAATGACTCTAGCCATACGCCAAGTTCCCCTCGACCATTGCGTCCTTCGATCAAGTCCAACACTTCCGGTGCTTCTTCTACTTCCGGTTCCTCTTCGTCCAGTTATAACGATGATCGTCACCAGGCCCCGACGAACTCTTTGCCTTCAAGGTGTACAGAAAATGCTTGGGGTACCCCTAAATCAGGTAGTAACCGAAGTATCTTGTCATCCTTTTCGGGGCGACGGAGGTCAAGTAAGGGGCGTCGCCCTTCAGCAGGCGAGTCAAGAAACAAAAGAAGTAACAAAAAACAGAGTTATGTTTAAACGAGCTCTTCTTCGAGAGATAACGGCCTACGAAAGGTAACCTCGCCTTATTGCTGTCACGTGCCACGTCACGTGACTTGAAAGCGATGCTGGTTCATCGTCCAACACAGGGGTTACTACCTCATGTATGATTATATATTATGGATCCTTTCATAAACCAAGGATCGTGTCAGCGATCCATTATGATTAGAGGTCTACATGAAGTAGTAACCTCTTATTTTTGATAGTGTCTCCATGGAAACGAAACGTGCGATGAAAGATTCTGAAATCTCTTAGACCTTGAACAACAGGGGTCTGGCTTACACAAGTATTTAATATTTATTTTTACTTAACTTTTCCCATTCGATCTCTATGAAAGTAAAATATAGTCGAGTCTCTCTAATGTTGCCCCTAAAGGCTGGACACACGATGTGATGTTGTTTCTGATGTTGCCTGCAACGTTGCTTGCAACTTGGTAAATTGCACTCCTTGTCCACCCAGTGCAACGGTTGCATTGTAGTTTTTCCTTTTTATGTCTTATCGTGTCTCTGAGCCTTTAAAAGACAAGCCAAGCATTGAACAGGTTTCAGTAACAGAGAGATGTCTATATTAGGAGGTCTGTTTGAAAGAGAATGAGTGCACAATAGCAAATGTCCGTGTTATAGAGGTCTCTTTATGATGAATAAGTGGGGTCAGTACCAAAGAAACTGTCCATAATAGAGAGGTGTCCGTATTATAGAGGTCTTGTGCAGCCGTGTGTCCGTTATAGTCAGGTATTCATGTTGATGAAGATGTACAGTAATTGAAAAATAGCACACAGTACACACGTTACAAATTAAATGCCAAGCAAAATATTGTAAAATATTATGGCTCTTCACGTCATCGGTTGTCACAATTTTTAAAAATATCTTTCTTCTTTACGTTACAAGAATTGGAATCTACTTGCTTAAAAAAATGAATCTATATGAGTGACATTATGAATACATAGTGGATGTGGTGACGTATATGATGTTGTTTGTACCCAAGCTAGACCAGAATGCAGTTTGATTTTGGTCTATAAACTAATATTAGATATTCTGAGGTTAAGAAAAAAGCTGGGTAAAGGTGGCATTGCAGTGCATTGTGGGGCTGTATGAGGGCACAAAATAGACACCACCTTATAAAATGTCCCCTTAAGCAGTTCAACAATGCATTGCAATGCCAATTCAACCCAGAGTTTTTCTCGACCTTGGAATGGCTAATACAATGAAGGGGAAATCTAATTATATTAGTTTTTCTCAAATATTTGCATTGTTTGATGTGACTATTTCTTTAGGGTTTGGTGGAATGAAGTTGGCAAAAATTCATAGTTTTTAAATTTTAAATTTTCTCGCATTGCAAAGCTAAGATCCTACCTTCTTTAAATCTCATCCCCCTCCCCTCTCCTCATAAGTAATAAGTTGTTATACATGTTTTGAATTTACAGATGAGTTACAAAACCTGTGAACTCATATCTTTAATTCTCATACTCATGAATAATTAATGAGGAGAAAACAAAGCAAATCACTACTGTGACGGTGGTTTGGAAATGTGTTCTTAATTTGCATTAAATTTTGTAAACGTTTTCTTTGATTTTCTCCAAGAAACATTCATGAGTTTGAGAAGTAATTTCAAACACTTGAGAGAGTCCTTCCTCCGATTTCCAAACACCTCAAAGTCAGTTAAAAAAACTCGGCTGCGCCTCGTTTTTTCAACTCACTTTTCGGTGTTTGGAAATCGGAGGAAGGACTCTCTCGCGTGTTTGAAATATTACATCTAGTCCCATAACTCCATTAGAGAAGGGTTTATATAGGTCTTCCTTTCAATTTCATGAAGCAAAGAAAGCTTTTTTTAATTAATTTGTTTTTACATCCCCAAATTCCAAATTGAATGAAGAAATATAGAGAGAGATATTATGCATCGATTCAGAGGATCAGGCCCTGACTTTCCTTTAGCTTCGCTTAATGATTTTCAGAGTTTTCGAGAGGCATTTTTGGACAGATTCTCCATTTTTTGGCCTAGTTGTAGGCCTTTTCCTTAGAACAGCTGGCATAATTCAATAGATTTGCATAGTTTTGATTTGAAACTAATTTATAAATAATTATATTATTATTAATTGAAGGTTAATATAAAATTTTGTGCAATAATTGAATAAGGAAAATATCCAATATGATGCATATTTAGTGATAAAGAAAAAGATATAAATGTCACCCAAAGCTAAAAGGACTTGCTCTCACCAAAAGGAAACACAATAAAAAATAATCTAGTTGATAATATGATGCTAAAGAATTCTGAAAAACATGATTATTTATTACTATTATTACTATTAACTAACACATAGGAATATTTGGATCATTTTAATAAGCTTGTCATACTAGAGAGCCTAACTATAATAGGCATTTCCGATTTAGCGGCATATGAGCGGAATAGGCATATACTAGCGGAATAAGCATTAACCAGCGGAATAAGGCTAGAATCATCGTTATGACCAGAAAATTCAATAAGATAATGAAACAGCTTTCAGTA